CTTTTGTCACAGTGATGCAAAAGCTGTCTAAAACAATTAGCATTGCTTTGTAATATATTTTTAAATTGGTAGTTTTCTGTCTATAGCTTTATTATTTTTGTCATTTGGCCTCATTTGTAGTTTCACAAAAATGGTAATGCTTTTTTCTGTATCTGTGAAGATGAACATAAGGATTTTGACTGGAATCACCTTGAATCTGTAGATTGCTTTTCGGTTGCATGGAAAATTTATAATTGTTTTCCAACCTATGAACAAAGCATGCATTTCCATCTATTCATGTTATTTCCAATTTCTTATTTGACATTTGACTTTACTGACATCTAAACCATGCCCAGCACTCATCTATTGCCAATAATTATTTATTAAATGAATGAATGAATGAATGAATAATAGAATTCTCTTATTACAGACTTTTGAATTTTACTGCACTGGAAAGTATCTGTGGTAATCTAAATATTTTAGTGAGATAATATTATATTCAAATGTTTATTAAATACTTATTCTACACCAAATTCCTGGGATTATAGGCATGTGCCCTATCCTTGGTTGCTGTGTTTACAATAAATTGTAATGTGTCAAAATGAAGAAATTTCTCAAGATTCATGAAAATATAATTAGGGATGTGGGAGAGAGCCATAATTTATGTAGAAAATAATGGGTATCAACAGATATAATTTTTTTCATTGCTATTGATGGTTGAGGAGACACATTTTTGAAGAGACACATTTTTTGTTGTCATTGTTTATTTTGTATTGTTCTTGCCTCTCCTTTGTCTATTTTCATATTCCCTAAGTTTTTATTGTCCTTGTTTTTTTCTTTCTTTCCTTCTTTCTTTCTTTCTTTTTTTTTTTGTGTGTGTGTGTGTGTAAGGAAGTTCAGTATGCAAAGTATGCAAAGAGAAAATCAGTCTGAGATGGGAAGTCTGGTTTTGTAAAGCCAGAATTATCTTTGTCTCTAGAGTACCAGCAGACTCCTAAGGGAAGTGTCTTAGCGTTATCAACCCACTGGCAGCCACCATCCTCACAGACCTGAGGCACACTACTCAGGTGACCCAATACAGGCTCTTACACATTTGTTTTCTGAAGTCCAGATTTATGTGAGTATTTTAGCACTAACTAGAAGGGACATTTAAGAATTCACAAGCTATTAAAAGATGGGAGTCTGTTCCTTATTCTGCCAGAGAAGACAATGAAACAGAAAGAGATGATTATTACAAGAGACCAAAAGTATAGACAGCAGTATGTAATGATACACAAGGAAGAGAATGAGGGGACGAAGCATAAATGGTTGTGCTGAGGCAATGAGGAATATCTGTCCTGGTTTTTGTTTCTCCTCATCTGACATTGCTAAGAAGGGCTTTGAAGAACAAAGCTTGAATGCAAGAGAGATGGTAGCAAGGAGAAACTGAGTAACATTTCCTAACCAYAAAAAACATATGTGTGAGGTACACCTTGTTTTCAATTTCTAGATTCATGACTAAGTGTTTAATTTCAAAGAGAAGAAAGTTCATGGACTGTTTCTTACAATTACATGAGATAATGTATGTGGGTTCTTGAAAAGTCCTTAACTCCATAGTTTCCTAACGGTGCTATATGTTGTTATTGCTGATATTTCCCATATAGCCCTATAGAATGATAGCTTCAATGTAGYTTGAAACCATTAGGCAAGTGCTGGGATCCAGAAAAAGGCAACCTGATTTCCTCATCTAGTGGCACACATTATGAAATGGATGTTCTGGGGTGCAGAGCTTTGTRGGCTGCTATAATTTGCTCATGGTGTGGTACTAGTCACTTGTGCAGTGCCTCCAACAGAGAAAGTGCATAACACTTTTTTGGGTTTTGGTTGAGTAAATGTAAAATTCATTGTGCTAACTTAGATTAGGGAGCTAGTCATAGGACTAGAGATGAAGTTTACTGCTCTGTGAGTAAGTGCAGTTCTGACTGTTTACCTTTAGCTCACGCCATTGTATTTGTTTTTATATTGCAACCATTATCTTTATTATTTGATTTTAAACCTGAGTTCTTAGAAGTTAGAGGCTGTATTTTTATTGTTTATTTACTTTTAACATACAATCTCATGTTGGGGAAAATAACTTCATAGACATTTCAGTGATATTAGTTTTTTTGAAAATACTGACATTTCCAGTTTCACTGAAGTGTAGAAAAACATTTGTTGGGTTTGTATTCATTTTAGTGTTTTCTTTCCCTTCCCCCACCTCTTGTCCCCTCCCTTCTCCTTCCCTTTCCCTTCCTTCCTTCCTTCCTTCCTTCCTTCCTTCCTTCCTTCCTTCCTCTCTTTCTCTTTCTTTCTTTCTTTCTTTCTTTCTTTCTTTCTTTCTTTCTTTCTTTCTTTCTTTCTTTCTTATTTTTAAATTTTTTTGCAAAATGGGGATTGACCCCAGGTGCTGTATCCTTGAGCTACATCCTCAGCCCTAACCGACTTATTTTTTTGAGACATGGTCTCACTAAGCTCCCAGGTTAGACTTCAGATACTCCTTCCTTAGCCGCCACCCCAACCAAATTCCTGAGATTACAGGCATGTGCCCTGTCCCTGGTTGATGTATTTACAATAAATTGTAACATGTCAAAATGAAGAAATTTCTCAAATTCTACAACCCAAAGATCGCTTTCATTAATATTAAATTTTATGTAATAAAAACTCAATGAAATTCTGATCAGTTATCTTTTGCAAAAACATTTTTCCATCAATGGAATTAAAATATATATCAGAAACAATTTAAAGATAATTTTGCATTTATCCTGTCTCCACTGCTTACTAGCTCTGAGACAATGTGTCAGTTACTTGACCTCTCTTTGTTCACAAACATCAGGAGCAATATGGAACATTATTGGGTACATTGTAAATAACCAAAACATTTTAGGTGTTTTTAAACAATATATATTTTTATTATACATGGAAGGCATTATAAAATTTGTTTAAATTACTCAGAATACTAAAATATTTTTATAATCAGAGTAGTCCTCATCAAATAAATGTAGCATAATTTATTTATCCAGTTCCCACATGTCTGAACCATACCAAATTACACCTTTTAATTCCTTCTGAGGTATACAAAGTAGGAAAGACTACAGGCAAATTAAAAATATCTATAAATGTTTTTATTTTTCACTACAAATCTTCTATCTATTCAATTATATAAAAAGTAGAGATAAATCTTCAGGTGTTTTCACCTTGCACTTAGGTCAGAGACAGTTCAACTCAAACATATACATGTGTTTTTGTTCGTTTTTCTCCCAGCACACAAATACAGGCCACCTCTAGTCTTTCTAGAGTTGTAGGTATCTCAAGTGAAGAAAGAGACAGGTAGTTACTTTCCTTATTTGTATCCTTACTCAGTGTCCCTTAAAAATGAGAGGTCTGCRCATGGTGGATAGTTCCAACTATCCAGGAGGCTGAGGCAGGAGGATTTCAAGTTGGATATCAACCTGGACAACTTAGGAAGACTATGTCTCAAAATACCTTTTTATAAATGGAAGAAATGCTTAAAAAAGGAAAAAAAATTGCATAAATTGGTGGTTCTCCCTGTGGACTGTACCAACTTGGGTAGTGCTGGTAGCAGTGACTGAAGGGGAAATAAACCCACTGTTGTGGGAACACTAACCCCTAGGGGCAACATAACATGATCAAAGATCTGGATGTATGGAAAAGCCTAGAATGGCATTGAAGTGAAAGCTGATACCAAGTGGGCCAGGTTCTTGGTTATTTTTACTTGACAGATAACATATCAAAGATAAGGGTCATTATGTGATTTACCCATTATCTCTAACAATCACAGGTCCAACTCACTTGGCCATTACTTTAAAAGTAWGTGTGTGCAAGCAGGGAGGATGGGGATTTAACATGATCTCATGGCCCTTTGCTACCTTATATTTTCCTTAGAGAAGAGTTTCAATATAAAATAATCTCAGAAAGACCCACTAGTGTTTATACTATGAGTTAATTAAATCCTAAAGTAGCTGTTAAAGAATTATGATCACAATGATGCTAAAGAAGTAAAACAGACCCTTTAACAATATTTATATTTTCTGTTTTACCCTCCTTGAACTAGAGAGAATTTTCATTCATCTTTTCAATTGTTTTTTTACTTTTGATTATATTTTTTCAGGAACTTCTTTTCCTGTTAGCGAATTTTAAAAAAGTAACAGATTTTTATTTACTTTGTTTATCTCTGTTAAACTTCAAACTATGCAAGTCTCTCTCTCTCTCTCTCTCTCTCTCTCTCTCTCTCTCACACACACACACACACACACACACACACACACACAATATCTTAAGTATAGGCTAAATTTTAAAGAAATGTCCATAGAATTCTATATTCTTCAGAATAACTTGTACTATTAACATCGGCCTTTGATCAGAGAATGTGGTAGAATCACAAGGGTGCCACAAATAACTGGAAAAATAAATTTTAAAAAAAGGCAGGATAAAAGATAGCTTATGTATGAAAAGATAAGTACATGGAGGAGGGAGGATCACATATAAGGAAAAAATACTACTAGGAGATTTTATTTTATATTACAGTAGAATGTTACGCTCAGTTTCATATATTTGAAAAAACTTTTATAATATTTTGCTAAATAAAACAGAGCTGTACTTCACATTAATCTGTAATTTATTTATAATACTCTTAAAGTTAAAGAAGATGAGTAGATACACAAGTTTGGAATATATATTATTTGGAGGTATCATTAGTGAGTTTTGTTTCATTTTCATCATGCATATGCTTCATTTGAGGAGTAAAAAAGTTTTATTTAAGATAATAATTCATATAAACCYTTTTAAAAAGCAAAAAATTAACCCACCAATTTTCTTTTAAAAAAATCAGGTTGAAGTCTAGTTTGCCATAGAAGAATGCATTAAATTATATTATTTCTCCAATTACTTTTCCAGGATGACGCTGCACAATTAAAGCTGTTAATGAATTTCATAATTTCTGATTAGACCTGAAGATTGGAGGGCTCTTTCATCATTGTCCCATCATGCCATTTGCCAATGGCACCTGCTTCAAGCCATCCGTYTTCACTCTCATTGGAATTCCAGGCCTTGAATCAGTGCAACACTGGGTTGGGATTCCATTCTTCATTTCTTTTATTCTGGCCACCTTTGGAAATGCTCTGCTCGTCACCATCATTCGCATTGAGCATAGTCTCCATGAGCCCATGTATATTTTTTTAGCTGTATTAGCCGCTACTGACCTAGGCCTGACCTTCTGCATTACCCCTAAAATGCTGGCCATCTTTTGGCTTCAGTCAAGAGAGATTCACTTTGACTCCTGTCTGATTCAGATGTATTTTACACACACTTTCCAGTGCATGGAGTCTGGCATTCTCCTGGCCATGGCCTTTGACAGATATGTGGCTATCTGTGAGCCCTTAAGGCATTCTGCCATTCTCACTAAGAAGGTACTAATCACCATTATAATGGCAGTGACCCTTCGAGCCTCTATCATCATCATCTTGTGTCCACTTCTAATTAAGTTGCGCCTCAAGCATTTCCGGACCACAGTCATCTCTCACTCCTACTGTGAGCATATGGCTGTGGTAAAGCTGGCGGCAGAAAATGTCAGAGTCAACAAAGCATATGGACTGTTTGTGGCTTTCTCGGTCCTTGGATTTGATGTGATCTTCATTTTCTTATCCTACGCCTTCATCTTCCAGGCTGTGTTTAAGTTGCCACAGAAGGAGGCACGATTCAAGGCATTCAACACCTGCACAGCCCACATCTTTGTCTTTCTTCAGTTCTATATTCTCACATTTTTTACATCCTTCATACACAGATTTGGCTTCAATGTTGCTCCCTATGTGCATATTCTGCTGTCCAACCTTTACCTGCTTGTTCCGCCGCTGCTTAACCCTATTGTCTATGGAGTGAAGAACAAACAAATCCGAGAGGAAGTGATCAAAATGTTCACTCCCAAGGGTTAAATTCACAAGCTCTCCAATTCCTCATTTTGTTTATGATAATTTGCACAGTGATCTTGTCATGTGGGGTAATACTATGATAATCCTTCTGTTATTTTAATTTTCATGGGCTGGAACAGATTTCACAAATAAAATTACAGATAATCCATATACACATTTTCAGATAAAATTTCAGTTATGTAATCAAAACTAATAATGCTTTTTATAATTTTGTATAACTTTTGAACATTCTCTAACCTTGGGATAGGATCAATTTTGGAAAACATTACCCTATGTTTTATACATTTTATCCAATGATGTTGGTACAAGTTATTCTCATACTTTCTAACACTAGTTTCTAAACTATGAGTCATGATAAAACGTTCATATTTTAGTGTTTAGTAAACTCTAAATACAGTAAAACTTTATTAAATATTAATGTTTTCATGTAACATGGTAGATTGAATATATATATATATATATGGTGGTGGGGAGTAGGGCCTAGAGTGCCTGAGAACTTTATACCATTTACTAGTAGAACTGAATAAAAATGAAGTCATTAAATACTATTTTTTGAAGTGAAATTTTGCAAACTGAGAGCTCRTTAAATTTTACAAATAGCTTTCCACTTATGTCCCTCAGTGTACCTCTAGAGTGGGCAGAATTGTGTTTTGTGTGGTAATCAAAAGACAAGAGCTGGGGCTGGGGTTGTGACTCTGTGGTAGAGCACTTGTCTTGTATATGTGAGGCACTGGGTTTGATCCTCAGTACAACATAAAATAAAATAAAGGTATTGGTCCATGTACAACTAAAAAAAAAAAAAAAAAAAAAAAAACTTTTTTAAAAAAGACAAGGGCCATGAATCTTCCTTGGTACACTAACCTACTAAATTTTTCCATGTGAGACAAGGTTGTATTCTGTGCTTCACTGTGATTATGAAATTGGTTGAAAATTTAATTACTCTATACTAACTTATGTATTTATCAACACTCTCAAAGCCTACAACACTTGTGCACTCTCTGTACATTACAATAAGTTGATTTGAAGATTTTTTTTCTTAAGTTTTCAACACTACCCACATTTGCCTTTATTGACTGATAAACACAATTGACACTTTTTGGTCAGAAATATATTTGTAAATATATGCTCACACTACAGCCCCAGGACACACATTATATAAGCATTATCAAGGTAATGTTTGTAATGACATATTTTTTCCTGTTTCTATCAAACACATTTTTTGTGTGTATGTGGTACTAGGTGGTTGAACTAAATGATCCTTTATTATTGAGCCACACTAGAACTTTTTATTTTATTTAGAGACAGGGTCTAACTACGTTGCTGAGGCTGGCTTTGGAYTTGTAATCTGCCTGCCTCAGGCTCCTCAGTCACTGAGATTACAGGTGTGAATCACTTTACACCCAGCTGTATGGACAACATTTTAATATTCTCTTTCAACTCATCCTTTTTTCTCCCCTTAAATAAATAAATAAATAAATAAAACATGAGCTTTATTCACCAACTTATCTTTTGGCTCCTCATTCACAATGCTATCTGTTTTCCTAAATTGCTGTTTCATTTTACACTCACACAAGGAAGGTCTGAGGGATTCGATTTTTTCACATCCTCACACCACTGCTTATGATTTTCTTTCTTTTTAAAGAATTGTTATTATGGTCATTCTTATGGATATAAAATGGTATCACTGTAGTTTTGATTTGCATTACCATGATGACTAATGATGTTGAGGAAATTTTCATGTACTTATCTTCCTTTGCCCATCTTTCATTAGGTTAATTAACTTTCATTATATTGTCACAAGAATTCTTTATTAATTCTAAATATATAATTGTACTTTCAGATTTATGATTTGCAAATATGTTCTCCCATTCAGTAAATTGTATTATCTCTTGATGATACAGCAAAATTAATGTATGTAAATTTAAATGTATGTACTTTATGTATTTGTTTTTTCATTGATTTTGCTTTTTATTTCATATTTTAAAAATCATCACAGTACAAAGACATAAAGATTTACACTTATAATTCCTATTGAGAGTTTTAAGCTTTTATCTTTTATACATAATTCTATGATTTTCTCCAACTTTGAATTTGTTTCTTTATTGTTTTGTTTATGATTATATGATAGTTGGGGTTACAAATCTTTGAGTGTGAACATTCAGTTGTCTTACCACTATTTGTTGATTAAATTTTTCTSTCTGGCTTCTTGGCACCTTAAGCATGCTGGGAACCTTAGACACTCTATTATCTTCCATGAATGTATATATCCATCTTTATTCATCACCCTACTRTCTTCTTAATGTAATAAATTTTGAGACCGAAAAGTGAGAATTCTCTAATTTTATTCTTTTTCCACATTTTTGTTGTTGCTGTTGTTATTCCAGAACAAAAAGACACATGAGAAATTTGTGAATATTTTTATCTCTGACAGAAAGGAGTACATCCTAAAAACATAAGAAATGTATCTTTCAGATAACCATATATAGATATTTCTTGTATTTCCTGCCATTAATTCCTTCCAGAAATATTTTACTGAAATCTCTAGTTCACGATCTTTACTGTAAAGCAAATTAATCTATTTTCCAAACTTCTGATCTCTGAAGTTTTTTTTACTGATCATTTAATTTGTCTTTTTATTCGTCCATTTAGTAATGTCACAAAACTCAAAGTCATTTTTGTGCCACAGATGATGAATGTGCCACTCAAAAATTAGTTTCTAATATCCTGAGAAGTCATCTTTGTCTAATATTTCCTCATTGCTCTATGCATATCTCTTTTTTTCCAGTACCAAATTCAGACAAAGCAATAAAAAATTGCCTTTAACCTAAAAGTTTCTTGATAAGACTTCAAAAAATATTTGGAAGAACATCAGGAAATTCCTGACTTCAAAATGTTATCTTATACCTGAACATGTCTGGGACTGACCTACTTTAGAAAAATATCAAGCCATACAGGGTGGATATACGTTGCATGCTACAAATAAAAGGACTTCAAAGCAGAAGAATTGCCCATATAGAGAGATAGTTGGCTAAATATATTGAGCACACACAAACATAAAAAATTTATTAACCCTAACTTGAAAACTGGCTTGTTAGAATTCTGTACATCCAAGTTTCTCTTATAAACAATATTTTCATTCCTCAAAAAGAACTGTTTTCCAGTATTTTACAGTGAGGGCACATGGTGCCTACAGATTTTTATAAAAAGGAAAGAATAAAGCATTAAAATGGAAAAGAAGGATTATACTTTCTAAAAACTGAGACTCAATATTGCCATTATATTCTCAGAAAAATCAAATTCATTTAGATTTGTAATTAAGAATTGTATTAAGATTGTTCTTAATTTTCATTGGAACGTGTTTCTCTCTTCACAGAAATTCAAGAAAATTGCAATCAACCAATTGTGCCAATCTGGGATATCATCTTATTTTCAAATGGAAAGACATATGAATTCACTTGATCTCAATAGTTAAAAACAGAAAGTGCTTCCGTGGGAATCCCTATTCCATTACTGCACTGTAATGGAAGCCTACATGCAAAAGAATAAACACTCAAATGCGGATATGGAGATTCAACACACAAAAGCATTCTCCAAAATTTGCTTCTTTAGTATCTGGTGGATTTTTTGCTTGTATGCTTTAAGGATCATTAGAAAAAAGCCAAAAATATGCATCTYGGGTTATAGTCACACTCTACTATAGAACTACAAAAACGAGAGCCTCTACTTTGAAGTGAAAACATGGACTACATGCTCACGAATCTGCTTGGTCCTCACACCATAGATAATGGGGTTGAGGGCAGGTGGGATAACCACATACAGGTTGGCAACAAGGATGTGGACATAACGGGGAATTTTTTTGCCAAATCGGTGGGTAAGAAAGGAGAAGAGGGATGGGGTGTAGAAAACACACATGACCCCAACATGTGAGCCACAAGTGCTCAGTGCTTTGTGGCGGGCATCTCGTGATGGGAGGCGGAAAACAGCACGGAGAATGTGGRCATAGGAGATGCCAACCAGTGCCAAATCCAAGACRAGGAAAGAAGCCACAAACARGCCATAGATGGCATTGATGCGAATGCTCGCACAGGCCAACTTGGCAATGCCCATATGCTCACAGTAAGAGTGGGCAATAATTCGAGCTTCACAGAAGGGCAGACGATAGGTTAGGTACAAAATGGGCAGCATGAGCAGAACAGGACGCATTATGATTCCCACAGTAATGCCTGCCAGCACCC